GGCAACCCGTCAAAATAAAAGTCCGGTTTGATTTGAAGACATTGTGCCTATAACTATTTTTCAGTAGAATGTACATAGCCTACTACTACTACTACTACTACTAAAATGAAACAAACATTATTTTTTAAGGAATAATCACACTAAACATTTCTTCCATGTTTTAATTTTAATAGTAAATTTATTAAATTAATAGTAAATAAATTTTTTGTTTGCTTAATTTTCAATAATTAATTAAATGATAAATGATAAATTAAATTAATATTTTATGCCTTCATTTGATAACCAGAAAAATGTAAAAAAAGTCTAAAAATCTCGTCTCGTCTCGTTCTCGTGAACCCAGTCTCATGTCTCTTGGGATAAGTGTCTCGTCACACCCCTAACGATAGTTAGCACGGAAAATGTCAAATCTTTATTTCTAAAAGTAAAAAGTAAAAGTTAAAGTTGGAGAAACCAGCCAATACATTTTTTTTTTTTTGACAAACACTTGTAAAACAGGTGAACATTTCACAAATCTGAGGTGTAATATTCAAAACATTTATAATAATAAAATATTTTTTCTACATCAAATTATGCATGGATAAACTTAAGTAAATCCTTTTTCATTTTTATCCCCTTAACAAAATATCTTATTAGAGAAATAAATATAATTCATGAAGCAGGTTTGTGTTCCCCGACTCTGATGGCATGATGCAGATGTAAATTTATGTTCATTAACAAAAACAGTAGCATCTGTAAAAATGGTAATATCCTTATAGGGTAAAAGTGAAATATTCTGACTGTTTGAGTCAAGACTCGACTCGACTTTTATTCAAATTAGCCATTGGCCATCAATTTATCACACAATTAGATCATGATAACCGAAGGTAAAACGACACATAGCACCTCACTACCATGGTAAAATGAAACTATATGGTTGTTATGGTATTTGTATGAAAAACAGCAGCCTAAATAGGCCTACATTTAGTATAAATACAAATGCGCCAATGCTATAGCATTTTAATACATTAACACTGTTTCGTTCCACTTTTGGCACACAAACGTTATATCGAACATGTGTTATTATCGCTCCATCGAGGGGAAAATACAGTGTTAATTATTTTTAACGTTTTATCGCCAGCACTAATATTGCTATTTTTTCTGTATATTTGATTTTTAAAAATGCAGCCTTGGTAAGTATAGGAGATCTTTCAAAAACAGTAGTGTATGTCATAAAAAGAGTTCAGTGTACTATGAAAGAAGACTATAGACAGCAAGTTTCAGAACTTTGATCCAAAAATCGTTAATTTCTGATGTCAGAAAACTGAATGCCATAACACATGGCCGTTATTGTCACATGTCAATGACACCTATTTTGGTAACAACACTGTGGCCCACCTAGTCACATTGCGTTCATAAGGAGGAAGTGGGATAGATATTATTCCTAAACACCAGATACAGTGTTATTTACAACTATCACAAAAATAAAAAAGGTCAGTAGTGGCTTAAATACTGTATACAAGCTGTTAGAAGTATTCAAGACACAAATAAAAAAATGACCCATTTGATTCTAAGCATCACAGAGAGGAAGGTCATGGAAAATGCATCATGATCTGTTTTTTATTGCAGTACAGCAAACAAAAACAAAATGATGTGAAATGTATTATATGACCCCTTTTAGAGGTGTCTGGTAAGGAAAGTTCACACCTCTTTTCTCATTTCTTTTCTTATCTCTGCTTTATGGAGTGTGTATAAGGGATGAATACATAGTGTGTTATGAATGGTATCTGTGGCCTGGATTCCTCAAAGGGTTGAAGAGCTTTGCTGACCTAGTGCACAGCCCTTCTCTCTCTTAGCACTTTGGCTGCTGTTGCATATTTCAAGCACACAATGTAGCAGTCATGTATAATAGAATGCTCTGAGAGGTTTGGACCATACTGTACGGCCCCATTTTTCATCACACCGGAGCAGGGTGTGCATTGCGTCAGCGTGTTTGATCTGATCTCAATCACGAATGTACCGTTATAGGAGGCTGCTACCATAGTCATCATGAAAATGTTTTAGTCACTCAAAAGCCCTTGAATGTAGAGATAAGCACCGTAGGCGTAAAGAATGAGGTTAGTGTGAAAATGTGTTTTGATATGATGCTGTGCTCGATTGTATCCTCTTTGTTTGGATCGGTGAACAACTCGCCTCAGACGTAAAAAGTTCACTGTGCGGTTGTTCTCCCTTGCTCGAGGCCTTCACTGCATTATTCTGAGATTATTATGCCTTTTTCCTTTTCCACATGGGGCCATCCAAAGAAAAGTCTGAGTTTATTTGCCTGAAGTTAAAAAGCGAAGCAGGTAAAAATACGATGTGTACTGGAATGTTTTTGTCGTTCTGTTCGAGTTCTCTCCTCTTCCTCCACTCTCTCTCGTCTCCTTTAGCCTTAATGTGTCTTTGACTGGTGGGGCGTGCATGTGTGAACTGAAGGAAGTGATTCTGTGTTTATGGCTCTGCTGTGTGAGGCCCGTGTGAGCTTGTGTCGCAACCATAAAGTGAATTGTTTGTGCCTAAATATTCTTGTTTATTCTTCAGATTTTATTGCATAATATTCTCTTTTTTTGGTCTGTGTTTTTCTCTCTCTTTTTTTGTAAACACACTCTCTCCATGGGCCGTCTGGATTTTGCATAATTTTCCCTCTCGCAATCTGCCTGTGAAGCGAAAGAGCTGCAATGAAAAATTAAAAGCATATTTAGCTGCTGGGAGAGCCACAGAAGGCCTCGGGCAGGCCAGCCTGGCCCGTGCCGCTGTCTGTGCCGGGATCGGTGGGTGTAAAAAGGGGAGGGGGTCTGACAGACATGCTTTAAAGAGCTTTTGGGATTTGCATTATTTGGCCTGCACTACATTTGTGTGTGTGTGAGTCTACTATTGCTTTCCTATGGCTATATCAGATGAAGCTGTTGTTAAACTAGAGCACAGTCAACCCCCCTAAACACACACACACTCACACACATTGTTTTGAAATACAGTTTTTTGGACTTCCTCTTCCTCTTTCTTCACCTCATTCACATCGCATGTGACGTGTAACCGAAAGCACCACATTAACAGGAAATTGGGCCACTTTTACTTCATCTGCGGTCTCACATAATACCTTGGCGTTGTCCCTGCAAGTCTTTGAGCAGTGAGTGTTTATATTGTGGTAATTTAAGATTTTACACAATGTTTCTTACTCAAGCAATAATAACATTTCCTCTGTATTTCTGCTTTAGATTTTTTAGAATGAGCTGCTGGGATTGTTTCTGCTGCAGTCACCATTATTAATGCCTATTCTTTTTCTCTCTTTCTCTCAGATCACTAGATGGTCGGTTGCAAGTATCTCACAGAAAAGGACTCCCTCATGTGATCTACTGTCGTCTTTGGCGCTGGCCTGACCTGCAGTCTCATCATGAGCTCAGAGCCATTGAACTCTGTGAGTTTGCCTTTCACATGAAAAAGGACGAGGTCTGCGTCAATCCCTACCATTACCAGCGAGTCGAGACGCCAGGTAATGCAGCCTGATATTTATGAAAGCACTAAGCACACTATCAGACAGTATCATTCATTTAGACCTGGGGTTGATCGCAGTACTGCGGGGGGTCTACCAATTATTATATGATCACAAACATGTTTTAATGAAAATATGAATTAAGGGGTGGTCACATTAGATTTTGAGAATGCACTTTTTTTTTTTTTTGCACAATACAACAGATGGGATGTGACATCTTAAATTTAACTAATAAACTGAGCTTTGGCATGCCTTTTGTTTCTGATTTCCTGCATTTGTATGTGTTTGAATGGAAGTCAGAGGAATTAAAAGTGTAGTGTTAAGTGTAGTGTGACTGCACAATTAAACAAAAAATATGATAATTAACTGTAATTTATAGCTTTACCAAAGCTAAAAATGTTTTATTTAATAAAAATGATTAAATAACATTAAAATGTAATGACCATGTAATTGACTCTGCAATACTCCCATCTCCATCTCTTAAATTCCTGTCCAGACTCTACACTGTTTTATCTAAATAAAGGCAAAACACCTAAAAACTATTTTTAAAAAATTGCTGTTTCATGCTGTTATGGTCTTCTGATCTTCTGATCCTTATATTACTCAACATATTTAGCATTGGGGCTGTGCGATTTAATTGAAATCGCAATAAAATCATGATAAAGAATGCACGATTTCTAAACCACAAAAGCATGATTTCGTGTTATGCCAAGTTCTAGTGCGAGCATAAAAAAGACTTATGGTTACGACATGGAGAAAGCACAGAAACAGGGTACTTGTGTGCCTGAACCCAAAAGGTTTCTCAGAACACCGAATTGAGCTCTCTTTCATGTCTTTTTGCGCTTTCTATGTTCAGGTTTTAAGCTAACGTAAAGAGTTGAGAAAGAAAATGCATTCACTTTACATGTTGTTTGAACATAAATGTGTGTTGGAAGTGCGAGTACACGTCCCCCCTATAATGATAAAAATCCACTCAGTGATTTTTAAAAAATCCATATTTTAAAATCCCCTTTCTCAAATCAGGCTGTTCTGAGATTCCTGGCAGAGTGACGTAGTTCTGCACAGTCCCCTCCCACGATAGTTGATTGACAAGGCCGTCTTACCTTAGACTCCGGTGCAGGGGAAGACAAGAATGTCTCCGATTAAGTGATTGAGGTGTTTTGTTGTAGGATGTAATAATGAACATAGCAGTCGTCATTTACTCCCGACATCTGAGCCGCTGAAGACGCAGAGGATTAACGTTACTTTCGCTTTTGAAGGGAATGCGCTGATCCCCGATCTGCCTAAATGCATCTATGTTCGCGCGAATCATTCTTGATAACTTTAATAAGGATTAATCTAAACTAATTTATACAATGAAGACTATGCAATGTTGTTTTACATTTGGTTATTTAAAAGGGTCATATGGTGCGATTTCAATTTTTCCTTTCTCTTTGGAGTGTTACAAGCTCTTGGTGCATAAAGAATATCTGTAAAGTTGCAAAGACTAAAGTCTCAAATCCAAAGAGATATTCTTTATAAAAGTTAAGAGTCAGCCACGCCTACCTAAAACGGCTCGTTCTAACACGCCCCCACATGTCTACGTCCCGATGTGGGAAGATTTGCATAACGCCGCCCAAATGTTCACGCAAAGAAAGAAGGCGTAACCTTTATTCTCGCTGTATTATTGTTGTTGCTGCCGCCGCCATGTCGTGAAGACGCTGTATGTTTCGTTGTGAAAGCGAAACTACTTGTTTGGCCTTCCAAAAGAGGACGATATCCGCTTCGTCATACCTGGAGCTGATCCGTGCTGGTCGCTGAGGAAATACATCAACTTAGTGCTGTGGATCACCGGATCGGCTTTCACCGTGGACGAAAC